TCAACAGTCTGCCTATTCATATTCTATTCTCTCTTCATATAGTGAAAGAGAAAGAGAATACCAGTAGATGGTGAGAGCGAAGATTAAAAAGAGTGCTAAACAAATCTGAGTACTACCCTATCATTGCTACTTGATACTACCCTTATTAAATATTTTAGCACGTCCTCTATTTGAAAATAGAAAAATTTCAAATGACTGAACAGTTGGGTAAAGTATGACCTTTCTAGTTTTTTTCCATACCTCTACTAATACAGCTTGCACAAGAAGCTGAGGCATTGATGTAAAGTGTGAAACCTATTCAGCACGCGTCAGTTCTGATTTTTCAAATGAACAATCAAATCTTAGTGTTATATGTGTCTTCTAATGGCAATCATCTTTACTATTCGAAATTTTAGCATTGCAACTGATGAATCAGTGATGTGAAGTTGTAGCGATCAGAATTTTAACATCAGTTAGCAAGCAGGCAATGATTTCCTACGGCCTTGAATAGTTAGTTATGGTCATAGATTAGGCAGCTTAAGATGTCATGGAGAATTATGGTATTACAAAGTGAACGTAGTGATGAAAGAAAGGGAAGAACGATGGTGGAAATTTAATATGACTAGATGGATGCTACGTGTCTGTCAGGGCGTGTGAGTAGTTGACCATTCATTCTAGGATACTCAGTGCCTACTACTTAGGAAAAAGTGCATTAGCCTTGAATGATAATAGAGTGCGGAAGGATTTTACTTGAGACCAGTAACATAAGAGATTTAAGTGTATTAATCTTTTAAGTTTGATCACGAAGTGAAATCACTTAGAGAACTATCTAAAACCAAGCAGTACCGAACAGCTGTTTCATTGTAATTTGTGACGCACCCATGACCCCACTGGACACTATCCTGTTCAGTTTAGTCTATACACATATCATCTTATTGCTGGCGCCATAAACCTACAAAGTGGAGTGGAATGGATGGCCTTTAGGATCAAACTTTGCTAGCTCCTATATAATTATTTTGGTAAGAAACTACAGTCGCTTGAAAAAAAACAATTCACTACAGTTATATCTCTAAATGACCACCAACACTTCGAAAATTGATGTATTAAAACGGCATAAAAGAACACAACGTATTGCTAAACAGTAGTTTATGGTCTTAAGAGACATCCATATATTTTGTGGGCAGCAAAGCTTATAATTAATAATAATACCGGTAGCACTGGTGAAAGTAGAATAATTTCCAAACTTAGCAAGTTGATAAAGACTGGATGACCCTGCAATCTGAATACCAATATTTCCTTGAGAACACTAATCATGTAGCAGAGTCGCAAATCACACTGTTTGGAGACTGAATCATATTCAGAGGGAGTAAACTATTTAAAATGAATTACTTGTGACCGGTGAAAAATGCTGTTGCAATAAATCATATGTCAAAGTTATACATGGTGAAGACAAACACAACAAATTAGCCTCTGGAATTCGCGACCAGTGATGAAAGTTAAGAGAAATATTTAACAGGACAATCAGCAAGCGAATACAATATCCAACCAACATTATTTTAAGTCTTAGACCATGCTATTTTCCAAAACCTAATCAATTCAGAAGCATTTCATAAAAAAAGGAAGTTGATGTACTAAACCTTGTTCAGTTTGAGTCTCGCAGCAGCAGTGATAAATGTTACAAAAAGTGATTGTTCACGCTGGTATATATATATATATATATACAAGCGAAATTCCGAATTCTTTCATTTTAAGACAGTGGAATGTCAATCAAAAATCTTATTTTCAGTCAGATATCGATCTTTTATCCTTTGCACATAAAAGTCTACTCGGTTTTATTAATTTAAGCAACACAAAGTAACAGATGTACAAACCAAAAACAGTTTGAAATTGCCTGTAGTAATAAAATGAGTATGCAACAAAGCTAAAGTTGTGGACGTTGTGAAATAGGCGTGTGCACTTAGTACTACATGTTGAAAACCTTAATCACTCCAGTAGTCATTTCAACTTGGAATACGACAAAATGAACGAAAGTAAGGCATGCACTAAATTCGAAAATCTAAAAATATATTGGTAAGATTGCTGTTTTATTTAGGCTTGTCAGAAACAAACCGCACAGTCTCCTTGTAGCACACTGTATTAATATTAACATATATTAGTGACATGTATATGCCTTAAAATTCGCAAGTTACAAGAGTAAAGCAAAAAGTAATGTTATTACTCACACGCAAACGCTTTTCCTCCATTATACGTAGACGCTTCTCCACCGGATTCACATTCACAGGAGGTAATACAGGCCTCGTGACTGCTCTAAACAGACGTTGTTCAAGTGTGCCTGGATCAGGAACATAACGATATCTAACCGGCTGTCCAGTTCGTCCATATAAAGAAAAGTTGGAGTTACGTAGGATAGCCAAACGATTCATAACTTGTCTGAAACTGTGGTTATCCATTTTAAAGATAAAAGAAATGAAGTAATAAAGAGTGAGCAAACTTTAAAAGAACGCATTTACTCTTGACCTCGCCAGAGGCAGGTTATTTTCATATGTGAAGCAACAGCAAAGTTAGTTTCTCTTTAAAAAAGGAATGGCCCTACCATTCCCACTTTCATTTTGTGGCATGACGTGGGACGCTAGTTAGTGATTCTAAATATAATGATTAAAATCAACTGCAGCTGTGCATTTGTATTAAAATTGTGATACCATTTCTCCACGCCATATAAATTTTCATGATTTCGGGCAGCAAACATCTGATAAGCGAAGTGTACAATTAGTGAACTAGAAATTCGAAAGAAACCCAGTCCACTTTCGAATCCAATTCTAGGCAAATAACGCAATCTAACACTTTTTTTCCCGACATAAATGGTAAGACTAAACCATGATGATTATTAAAAATATTTTATGGCTTTCAAGAAAGTTTCCTTTTATATCTCTATCCAGCTGTCCAGATTGAGTGTTTCACAACCTAAGACATTTAAGCAGATCTATGAATAGGGTTTCACCGGCAGTTTCAAGACAAGTTCAGTAATTTTGTCTGAGAGAAGTGACGGATAATGTCTAATTGAAGTAAGACTGTAACTTATGATGCGGTTGTGCAGAAAGCCGACATGGGCTTTGATGTAAGTTACTGTCAGATTCTGAATTACAATGCCATTTTTCTAACTACTGATGAATGAAGAAAGTTGATTAGCATGACCATTGTTAACTGTCAATATATTTGGACAAACATATTGAGATATGAACGCCATGGATTGCACTAAGTATTTTTAAAAACGATGCCAGCCTACTTATTATTATTGCTTCCTTTAGTTCCTAGAGGAACACTGGGCTTCAGCCGACGTCTTCACTGCGTTCGGTTCTCTGCCAACGTTTTCACCTGGCTCCAAGTCTGCCCACATGTCTCCATCTCCTCTTTGCATGACCTCCTCCATGTCACCCTCGGAAGACCAACTTGCTGCTTCCCATTCGGCTTCCACTCAAGAGCCTGGCGCGTGATACCACTTGGTGGCTTTCTAAGAGTATGGCCAATCCACCTTCTATTTCTTTTCCAATGGTTCTCTAACCGATTTCAGCTCATGATAAAATCCTGTAACCAATTCCTGCACATTTTTTGCACAATTGGCTCCTGTTTGGTTCACTCCCAGAGATCCCTGTTGCTGATCTTTTCTGGCCATCTGGTCTTGAGCGAAGACAGCTGTTGATGAAGGTTTGGAGTTTGTTCGAAGTGTCTCTCGTAACGCGCCAAATCTCTGATCCGTATAGTAGCACTGACTTCACATTGGAGTTGAAAATCCGGATGTTATTTCCATTTTCATGCTGAGTGCTGTTGACCTTCACACAGACTTGAGAGTAGTGAAAGCTTGTCTTGCTTTTCCGATTCTTGCTTTGATATCCTCGTCAGTTCCGCCTCTAGCTGAAACGATGCTTTCCGGATCAGTAGGTAAAGGAGGTTATTTCTTTCAGGTTCCTCCCATTTATGCTGATTGTTGTCTGTTGTTATTGCTGTTCTCGTCCAGGAATCTTGATTACCTCTGTTTTCTCTATGTTCACCTGAAGTCCTACCTTCTCTGGATGCTTCTTCTGCCAACTTGTTGCTTTTCGCTTCCATATCTTCCAGTTTGTGGGAAATCAGACATATATCATCGGCGAAGTCCAGATCCTCCAAGTTCTTTGTGTGAGTCCATTTTATGCCTGTTTCCTCATTGCCCGCTGTTTGTCGCATTATCCAATCTACTGCAATCAGGAAAATCATTGGCGATAGTAGGCAGCCTTGTCTTACTTCTGTCCTCACTTCGAAGGATTCCGTAAGTTTCCTCTTGTGGATTACTTGGCATGCAGCGTTGTCATACAACTGTTGGAAGAGATGTATAATTGTCGGTGGCACCCCGTAGCAGCAAAGTAGTTTCCAAATCACCTCTCGACCGACGCTGTCGAAGGCATTTTCAAAGTCGATGAAGTTGAGATAGAGAGCTGATTGCCATTCCAAGCTCTGTTCAATAATGGTAAGTAGTGTTGCGATTTGATCGATGCATAACTTGTTTCTCCTGAATCCAGCCTGTTCCGGTCGAAGTTTTCCATCCAGGGTGAGTTTGATTCTCTCCAGGATGATGCAGCTTAGTATTTTGCTTGGAATAGACAGGAGCATAATGCCGTGCCAGTTCTTGAATTGACTTAAGTCTCCTTTACTTGGTAGTTTGAATAGGTAGCCTTTCTTCCAATCCACAGGTACCTTGCCCTTTTTCCACACCTTCTCCAGTAGTGGTGTCATCAAGTTGGCTGATGTCTCTGCGTCCATTTTCAATGCTTCTGCGGGGATTCCGTCTGGTCCTGCTGCTTTTCCAGTTTTCAGCACTTTTATGGCCTTCAGGATCTCTGCTTTCGTCAGAGGGTTGGCATCCACTGGTAGTTCGGCTTCCGCTGTTGGTATTATTGGGCGCGTTGTAGGTGGCGGCCGACTTAGAGGTCTTTTGAAATATTCAGCCCAGTGTTTCCTTTGTTCCACCTTCTCGGTGATTGACTTTCCATTGTCATCCCTCACTGTCAACCCATCTAGCCTTGTGGATATCCTTGTGCGTGTATACGCTGCCACCAATCACTAGGTCACTGAAGCTGCAGAAGTCAACGGAGAGGTCTTCGTTTTCATTCATCTCTTCAAGTGCTTCTCTACCCGTAATGAATTTTCTTCCTGTGTTGTCTAGTTCCAGTTTGGCATTCATGTCACCCCTTAGGATTTTAATGTCACCGACTGGAGTATTGTCCATTGTTGCCTGTAGAACTCTTCCTTCTTTTCTAAGTCTGCGTTGTTTTTGGGTGTATAGCATTGTATAATTGTCACTTTCCTTTCTTGTGAGTTGGACCTGGCGGTCATTGACCTGGGCGAGATCGCCTGCCATTGTATCAGGGCCTTCATTGTCGTTGGTGACATCGTGATAGTCACACCCTCGGTGTGCTCGTGGTTGTCTTCTGGTTGACTGGAGTTTTTGTGAGTCCCATTCCTTCTGCTTTTGCATATTCCCACTAATTCAATATCATATATCTTCATCTCATTTGCAATCTGGGCAGCTTTGCCAGTCTCATACATAGTGCGGACGTTTCATGTCCCCACATTTTTTCCTTCTGCTGCTGCTGGATTCAACATAGAACTTGGCACCGAGGTGCAGCAGTTCGAGTTGCCACGTTCCAAAGAGCACACAAAGGTAGACAAGAAAATGAGTGAAGAGAATCAATATGGTTTTGACAAGTATAAGAGTGAAACAGAATGAGTAATGGTAGAAAGGAGTATGAAGGTTAAAGAGACTGAATACATCTGCGCCACTGACAACGATTTTGAGCCATGTCACCTATTGTCTCCAGCCATTGATTCTTAGAGTCCCGAGGGCCCCAACTCGGAAGTCTGCATCTCCCTACCTGACTCAGTTTAACTGTCAGGGATTTCATGGATTGATGCCATGTTTTTGTTTGGCCACCACTTACTCTTTTCCAACTTGCGCCTATATCAGCTAGTAATGCCCGTCGGGGGAGGCGATGGCTAGGCATGCGCAGCACGTGACGTAATCATCTCAATCTATGTAACTTCATAGCCTCTTCGATTGATTTTCCCTCTTTGCCCAACACTCTCCTTCGTTGCAAGGAGACTCACATGTACTGAAGTTTCTGCTTATGATGCTGGTTAATTATCACACAAACTCCACAGGGATAAACACCATTTAGAACACTTCAGGAGTTCTGTGCTCACAGTAGATTTCCCCAGTTACAAGGACGCTACATCGACAATGCGGTCTAATGCAAAACAAACGCATTGTTTAATTAAAATAACCCATCTATGCTGAAATGATGCGGAAAGTGCTTAAATGATGTCTGATGTGTTGAAATGAAGCTGAAAAATAGCAAGAGGAGCTGAATTAATGCCAAAAAGTAGCGCAGAAAACTGTGCCACTAGCATCTTTTGACCATTTGCTCGCCATCGAAAAAGGCTCTGGTTCAGATTTCACTAGAACCAATTCACCATTATCGTAATTACAGTCCCACGCTCAACCTTGGAACGTTGCCTAATCTGTAATTACGGATTATATGCGACTGTAACTGAATTCTAGGTGCAATTAATCACGACAGCGTACAAACTTCATGGATATACGAGTCGACACTTGAAAATACTTTAAAACGTTTTTATGCAGATGAAATGAAACCGTGGCAGCCACCCCTGCACATGACAGTGAATAATTGATTAAAGTTCCAGATGCTACAACCAAATCAGATTAGTTCTGTTCTGAATTCACTCAGACAATTCCAGGAAGATCAAATATTTGATTACTGTGTAACTGATTAATTGGAGTAACTAAGAGAACATGCCTATGCGAGTGAAACTCAACAGCATAACTAGTCTTATCAGAGAACTCAAATTTTGAAAAGAATAAAGAACAGAATTTCAAATATAAACTGATCTCAGGACGTAAAGATACGTAATTATCTTCTGGACAAATTCGCGAGTTCTACAGCTCCTAAATTTTGACCAGTTGCTTAGGGTCTCTCCTAAGACCTATTGAGGTGGGACCTATACTTTAACCTCACCCCTATACAAAACGAACATTTTATTTTACTAGCATTTCGCTACATTCATCGTTGCTTATTCTAGCAGTATTTCTCCAAAGTCGGCCTTAAGATCGACTGGCGTGGCTTCTAAAGTTAGACTTTGCAGAGATTTAGGCGTAAAACGACGGTTTAGTATTGATAACAAGCCATAGTACATTTCTTAGACGTTTCGCAAGAAAATAACCAAACTTCGAGACCCGGCAAAGTTAATGTATCGTAGTCAAAGACACGGTCTTTCAAGTTGACCTTCAAGAACCGATCAGATATAAGGAATACTATCAAATATCATTCCAAATCGAACCATGGTTATCTTACTGGACTTGAAGAGGGTAGATACAGTATTCTACTTATTCCCTAAGTACTTTCTCTCCAAATCTATACTGTTCCCAAGCTTACCATAATGCTGAATTAAATCTGACTAATTCTGAAATAATTCTAACATCCTATAGCGAGTAAATTCTGAATATGTTCTGAAGTGGATTCTTTAATGGCATAGACTATAACTCAATGCTGGTTTTTGGCATGACTGGCACTAATTCAGCACCGTGTTCTTTTTCTAGACATTTCCAAGAGTAGATCAGAACCTACTGGGTTTGCTTATCAGCGTTTCTCCAGCCCTCACAGGACATATTAAGCGCGGACTAGCGTTACTTCAGAGTGAAAAGACTTAATTCAGCATCCAGCTCACTTTTTAAGCACGACAAGCATTAATTCAGAACGTAGTGGGTAGATAAAATCTTCATTTACCATAAAAAGGCATTATCGAAGAATAGGTTAGAATAAGTTTAGAACTGTTGTAAGCTTGGTTAGTTTCTGATCCACTCCTGTGAGGGCTGGAGAAACGCTGATAAGCAAACCCAGTAGGTTCTGATCTACTCTTGGAAATGTCTAGAAAAAGAACACGGTGCTGAATTAGTGCCAGTCATGCCAAAAACCAGCATTGAGTTATAGTCTATGCCATTAAAGAATCCACTTCAGAACATATTCAGAATTTACTCGCTATAGGATGTTAGAATTATTTCAGAATTGGTGAGAAAATTCAGCATTATAGGAAGCTTGGGATCACTGTACAGTGATCTGATAATTCCACTTCGCCCAAGACATACATCAAAAATACATAACTGGAAGGGAGGTTCGATAATTATTATTACCGATTTCGCTATTGAAGGGATAGGAACAACACAATGCAGAGAATAAAAAACTAAAATTTAGACAGAAATCCAGATGTAACGTACTCACTCAATTTTTCAACATTGTATGACATTCAATATCCAATATCGTTTTTCCGAGCTAGTATAAACCAATTTGATTTCTTTGTGCTCGCCTCTTGATTGTGAGGTATAGGTTCCTGATCTTTGGTAAACTTCTGCGTAGCTCGTCCCGCCACTAGACTGTCGTAGCTTTGGTTAACTCCAAAAGCAGTAGTGCAGGTATTAATTATATGTGCTTCCAATATCCAATATCCTGATCACGAGCTAGTATAAACCAGTGATTTCTTTGAGCTCGCTTCTTGATTGTAAGGTAGAGGTTCCAGATCTTCGGTGAACTTATGCGTAGTAAGTCCCGCCACTCGACTGCTTTAGCTCTGGTAGACTCCAAGAGGAGTGGTGCGAGGATTGGTCAAGATGTGGTTTATAGTGTGCAGCATATTAGGACTGAGTTGCTACGTGAATAGAGTTTGACCTAACACCCGTTGGTCATTCGATGTAGTCATAAAAGCAGAATAGTTATAATAACAATAATAATAATGATAATAATAATAGGTGGTAGTGTAGATAATATAGGTTGAGATAAGTGAAATATAAAGGTGAAATAATAAAGGTGACCGAAGGAAAAGATAGAGTAGTCGGTACAGTGAGAGAAGACAGAACCGGTCGTGGAGATTTTCCTTGTATGCTTATCCACTGACAGTGTGGTTTTAAATTTTAAGAGGATAAGTCATTGAGACACAAACCATGCATTTCTGTATGATGGTCCAGCTTCCGCTTAAAAGACTCCACAGATGGCGCTGTAGTTACGGCCGCCGGTAAAGCGTTCCAGAGACGGCAAACTCGAAGCGAAAAGAAGCGTGAACGCATTCGGGTTTTTGGTCTCCGGTGTGCTATCCTTAGCGGGTTACCTCGTGGAAGCCTATAATCACTTAATGGCAGGATGCTTTTATTAGGGTGGGCCTGGTCATTTAAGATCTTATAGACGGTGATGAGGTCTCCCCTGTGACTACGGTAACTAAGTGTGAAAAGACTTAATTTCCTCAGTCTTTCCTCATATGATTTGTTGCGGAGGCCGATCACCCATTTCGTCGCTCTCTCTGGACACTTTCTAGAATGTTAGCATCCCTTTTGAGTAGCGGAAGAGCAATGATATTATGCACCTCAAGTAGTGTCGTATACAACCTTAAGAATAGTTCAGGAGTAAGAGCTCCCAGCTGCCTATGCATGAAGTGTAAAGTTGCGTAAGCTTTGGCGACGTCCCTCGTGTAATTTACACTGGTGTCTAGCTTTTCTGTTAAAATAAGACCTAGGTCGTGTTCTGGTGGCACACAACTCAAGTTCTGGCCACCAAGGGTGTAATTTACACTCTGCGACCTACCGGAATGAAGTTGCACTACTTTTCACTTCTTTAGGTTGAAAGGCATTTCGTTAGCCAGAGCCCAGTCTCCTAGAGTTTGCAGGTCAGCCTGCAATCTGTCTGAGTCTTCCGATGAGTTTATTGCCCCCCAAATCTTTACGTCGCCAGCGTAAAGAAGTGCAGAGCAGTTCAGTTGATAGGGCAGGTCGTTGATAAAAATCAAAAACATCAACGGCCCTAAGATAGAACCCCGAGGAACTCCTGATACCGAGGTGTGCCAGGATGATCGGATGCGGTTGACCTTGGTGCAGAATTCTCTCTCGCCTAAGTAATCTTTCAGCCATGCGAGAAGTGCTCCAGAAACACCTGCCTTGCTTATTTTGTGAAGGAGCAGACCATGGTGAATTGTGTCGAATGCTTTCGCAAAGTCGAGAAAGATCACATGGACTGGTACCTGTACGTCCCAAGATATTGTCCAATCGTTCCAGGCTAGTAGAAGATTCGTCACACAGGATCTTCCTCTCCTGAAACTGTGCTGTGCTTCATGGAGTAGGTTAGTCCCGTCGAAGTATTTTCTCATGTGGTCGTCAATGAGACTTTCCAATATCTTCGATATCACTGGGAGTAGCGCAACTGGTCTGTAACTGGTCGCGTTCTGCCGGTCACCACCCTTGAAGATAGGGGATAGGATGGCTCGTTTCCATTCACATGGAAGTTTCCCTACATCAAAGGAGTGTTGTAACAGATCACTTAGGTGTTGGCAGAGACTTTCTGAACACTGCTTCAGGACG